AGTTTATTCTTTCTCGTTACAAACTTTGTAATACACTTACTTTCCACAGTTACTTTAACTTCAACACACGCTATAATTCGTAACGATTCACGCACTTTACTTACGGTCACTATCGCTCACTTGACTCAATTCTCTGTCTCTATATCTGTCTATATGCAATTATCTGCCGGGCTTATATGCTAAAATAGAGGGCGCCTAGAAAAGACTAGAGTTGCCAGGAAAAGTCCAGATCCTTCGAGAATATCATGACGTGTTACTAGAGTCACGTGACTTCCGCTGTCGTAACAATAGGTTATCTTCTTCTCAAACAGTTAAAGCTAGTAGGCCTCTGTGGCATGTTCTTTTTTGTATTAGGGGCAGTAAAGAGGTTATCTTCCTCTCTCACACACAGTTTGAGATAGCAAGCCTCTGTGTCATGTTCTTTGTTGTATTAGGAGTAATAAAGAGATTACTATTTTTTCTGTCATATTTAAAGCATATTACGGTCTAGCAATCCTCTGTGACATGTTCTTTGATTCGATTCATGAGCTTCAGTCGTAACTATTCAACACTCCCTGTTTAAAGGATGAAAGAAAGAGCTAGACTTTGATATATGAACAGCCATCTAGGCTTAATCAAATCAGATGAGAAACCTCAATAGTTTAACCTCGTCAGAAGCGCCGCCTGCAATCAAAGTTACACAGGAATATCTTATTACTCTAGCGTCTGTTTTTCGTTTGATTAGTTTTAATCGAGAAAAATGACTAATTTGTTTTAACTCCTGTGTACATTTTCTCACTTGATACATCATTTTAGTTTAATTCTCTTGACATATTAAAGGTGTTATTAAATAATTTATCTAAATGTTAGGTAATAGTAACCCTAAAACTTGGTACAAGACTCTCCGTCATCAGTATAACGCCGAAGTTGCAAAGAGCGCGCATTGCGTTTATGAAATTACTGGGTGTATATAGTTGCTTAAAGGCTAAAATTAATGATTTTTGGTGGTAAGACAGATTACAGATTTTAATATAATGTACAATACCTTGCTAAACCCGGTTTAATATTGATCGTTGTATTCGAATACTTCAGATTATCTTCATAAATACAGGTTCGTTAAAAGCGTTTACACTCCGGCTAAATCAAAGTTGCTACAGAAAAATAAAAGCGAGAAAAAGTGATTTATCTAATGCGACAGTCAGAGTAATCGTGGGAGAATCATCCCACCTACACACTAACTGCCTTTATACCTAAAATTACACATTGATTTCTTAGGTGGTGTGTTCTATCTGTATAAGAAACCTTTCCTTGTGAAGTTTGTGTAGGTTGATAAGTACATTTCACATGACGTAGCCAGTGGAAAAGTAAAGAAAATAGCTGGAGTCAAGAAAAAAAACGTATTGTAAACTTAGATAGGATTTCGACTTGTTTGAAAAGATCACTGATTGAAGATATATATATATAGCTACATGTGTAACTTACTTTGCTTTGTCATTTTATTTATTTTGTTAAGTGATTTAGTCTGATATTATTCATAACGCTATGATCGTGCATGTTTTTATTTCTGTACCTAATACAGTTTCATCAATCGTGTATTTAATTTTAATATAATGTGTATATTTGTAACTTAAATTGAGGTAACACATGATAAAATGGAAACACCGATAACGGAATACATTCAATATCTGATAGAAATTTCTCGAAATTCTGGACGTACCTCCACGGAAACTGTTTTACCTTTAATGATCAGTGGAACAACGAAACTCATGACCGACTGGTTGTGGCGACGGGAGCGCTATCTGGTGAGGAAACGTATTTTTATCTTCAGCGGATATCAACAATAGTTCTTTATTTATAAATGAAGAGTGTTTTATATTTTGATAGTCAAGAAAACGTATATGAACTTGTTATTGAATCCACCAAAAAACTAAACAGGTTGTGACGATTAATATTGTTGGTTGTGTGCATTCGAACTATTTGTTAAAAAATACATAAAAAGATAAGCGCGAAGTCCAGCCCACTTAATGATGAGAGGAGCGTTTTATTTCTTAAACTTAAAGCTCTACATGTTCCACGGTTTAAGTAACTAACGATTGGCCTAGCTTCACAACGTCTAAACAGAAATGTCACTCACTTACAAGTTTCGTATCTATTGTACTTCGTAGCAAAAACTATTTCAAAATTGACAGCACTGAACTGATTAAATGGCTGACAGCAACAAGCTGACTAAACCATGCACTGATTACACCGTCTGAAATTTTGTTAAAGTTTCAAAACAGTTCGAGCAGTATAAAATGCAAGTTAGGTTAAAATATATAATTATTGATCTGCGAGTCTTTTTGACAGTTAGCAAAAGCAACACCTCATCACGTGACGTCAAATTCCCTCCGGTTAAATATCAATACAAACACCTAAATTAAACATATAACCTACAACACTGTCCTCCTTGGATTGTGATGTCTTTTGAACAATGCTATTACACAAGTAGTCGTTTAACATATAAGCTGAAATTCTCATAACTAAAATGAAGTAACTCTTTATAGTAAATAATATTAATATTCATAAACAAATACATTACAAACATTAAATTATTGATTAAGTATATGAAAATTAAAATCCAGATTTTGCTTAACGAAGCAAAATATTTCTTTGCTCATTTACTGTCTCTAAGGTGTTTTTGTTTCTCTGTTTTTGAATTTCACTCAAAACTACTCGAAGGCTACTTGCGCTAGCCGTTCTTACTTAGAGTGATAGGTTAGAGGGAAGACAACTAGTCAAGACCACCTACTGCCTGATCTAATATTTTACCAAAGAAAAGTGGGATTGACTATCACATTACAATGCCCCGCACAGCTGAAAGGATGACCACGTTCGGTGACGGTATTCGAACTTGCAACCCACGGATGGCGAGTCTAGCACCCTAATCGTAAGACTTTTCACTCACCAGTTCAGTTGGCTCGTTTTATTTTCTGTGAATTATGATAAAAAGATGGAACAACTTCTTGTCCTTATCATCACTATCCATTTTGTCACAGAGGAAGTTCTCTAGACTAAAGATCGAGGGAATCCACCTGTGGTACCATCTTGAACTTATCTCATCGCGGAAATGAGCTAACGAGAAAGTTGACTTACTCCAGACAAAGGCATTACTAAAACCAACCAATTGGTCATTCAACCGCCTACATATATCCAGAAACCATCACGTTGTATAAACTAGCTTTCTAATTTATCTAGTATTGAACTTAAAATTGGTTATCTTTATTATCTCGAGCTTCCGCTCTTGTTGTCAATGGAATCTTAACCTCTGGTAGTGTAGTTGTCATGCAGCACACAATGATTTCCTGGTTAGACTAAAATAATAATAGAAGCAGGACTATCCTTGCATTGTGCTTCTGAAGTCTTTTTCCAGAATGCATTCTTCTTTAGTGTCAATTACCCATATATGATGACGTGTAGAGAAGCTTCCTCAGTGAAGTCAGTTTCAGACTTTCCATTTGCTGAAACTTTATGACCACTTACTGTTTGAATCAATCCATCTTCTTGCTCCATCTTTAGAGACAATTTTCTAGCTTTCGTTAACAGGTCAGGTCAAACAGTAATAGCTGTAGAACCAACGTCAACCACCAGGATGGCTTCCATCAATGACCTCCTTTAATTTACTTGTGAACTACTTTGTTTGAATAATGCTTTTCTTATATAAATTGGGGAAGTTTAGCTTCTCTTATCTTCACTATATTGTCTCCTTAGTTTTGTGTCAACGGCTGATGTAATATCCACGTTTTCCACACACATGTTAGTTTCCTTGATACTGTCAACCTTCGGGAGCAGTTTTTATTTTGTAAAAGCTTTTGTGTGTAGTTTCTAACAATACGTAGTACCATTTAAGTAAGTCCACAGACATACCGCCGTGCCACTGGGGGGAGGCTGATATGAAGAGCCATTTCTTGAGTTATACCCAATTCTTACTTTGACCCGTGACCTTTCTACTTCGGTTCGTAAGACACTTGTGCAGTGAATGACCCTCAATTAATGAATCACATGAAACACTGTGGAAGGACTTTAAAAGCTGGGTATTGAAAGCGGGTATCAGAAAGCACCCCTAATGCCACTATTTTGTCCGCTACCTCTGTCTACAAAGTCACCTTGACCATCGCACTGTGTATACCATGTTTTAAGTATATATACATATTGAGTTCTTAAAGCTTATACAAAACTTTTGATGAGGTAATAATGAATACTGTAATAAATATTATGTTATAAATAAATTGTGTGAAACTTAGGATTTTTA